TTTTTTTTTTTTTGACCCGGCCGTGGCCGGAGCTAGCCCCCACCTCCTCCAATTACAATGTAGCGGACGCGTAGCCGCTCATACATTTGGATTTTGCTTCCCTTAACAAATCCGCTCTTCTTTATGGGAAACGATTCGCGCACATCCCATTTTTTTGATACACACAGACTCGACAACCAAACGGACCATTACTTTTTTTTTCTAACATAAGAAAGCCATTACAGCATTACTTGTAACGGCTTCTCATTTATAGTGGCTAGCAACTTTAGCAAAATGGGTGTATAGTGTATTGGATTCGATTGTACACGACGACTCCGCAGCCACTGACCATCACCTCACGTCGTATGTTTAACCCAATAGCATTCTTCCACGTGGTTTCCACCATAGATAATAAAACCACGTCGGCGTCGTCCATCCGAAAACCTTGGCCGTTTATGATTACATGGGTGACGTCTGACGTGACTTTGATATCTACAATGAAAAGAAGGAATAATAGTGAGTAAGAATTACTAAGTTTGGCAATTACTTTTAAAGTTGATCTTTCGAAAGTAAAGATCTCCAAAGACACATTATATTTTTTTTGGGAAAATTCCTAATCAGTACCTGTATTTTGGCTTGAGTGACAAATTAGTTCTCAAACTTTAAAATGCGACAATTCAGTACTTGAACTTTTAAAATATGACAATCCAGTACCTGTCTTAATCAACCATTAAGTGATATTTGAAAAGTCAAAAATGCCCCAAGAATGCTATCTAACTTTCTTTATCAGCCATTCAAACATTGACAATAAAATGAATAGTCCTAAATTCTAGATTTTTCTAAACAATCACCAACTTTTTTAAATAGAAGAGGTTAGGATTTGGGACTATTCAATTTTTTGTCAACGTTTGGATGGTTGATAAAGAGAATTAGATGACATTTGAAGGGCATTTTTTACTTTTCAAATATCACTTAATAGTTGATTAGCGACAGGTACTGAATTGTCACATTTTGAAAGTTTGGGTATTGGATTGTCGCATTTTAAAGTTCGATGACCAAATTGCCACTCAAGTCAAAGTACAAGATACTAATCGAGAATTTTCCCTTTTTTTGAGATTGTTTTTCAAAATCAAGACCAAGTGGTGAGTCTGGATCTTCTCTTCACATAGCGCTTCTCACAATATGTTATAGTCGCACATTAGGAACATCTTCCATATTTGTATTTATTATTCATGGGGAGATGTTCTCAATACATGGTGGAATGTGACTATGAGGAGTAGATCCTAATTGGTGGTAACTGGTAAGTATCCTGAGCTAACTATTAAATGAAAGAGTTTTATGTGTGGAATGAGGAAGCTCCCTTATTGATTTTGGCCATTTTGGGTTTTTGTGAGTTGTTTAGGGTGCGTGATCTCTCTTGTTTTATATCTTTCATTGCCAAGCAAAAAAAGAAAAACAACTTTTGATCTTTGGAGTTCAGAAAAAGCAGCCCAATAAACCATGGAAAGACTTCCAAATGCACCTAAAGCTTCGTGCATGATGAGTGACCAGGATTTTTTTGGTAAGAAATGAGTGGCCAGGATTGGCTACATCACTTTGCATGGACCAAAAGAACAAAGGAGGAGGCCCAAAGAAATGGAACGTCCCACCCATAAAAGCATTTCTCCCTTATTGTTGGCCGGCACCAAAATTGAAAAGACGGTCTGGTGATTTATGATGAATACATTAACATTACAAGGAAAAAAAGGATGCCAATTATGCAGTTGAGATAATCTGATTCTCTTTAGTGGCATCCACTAAAGTGATTTTACAGAAAAGTACGGACAGACCCAATGCAGATTTCTGAATTCCAGCAAATTTATAAACATTCAAAAAGTAAAATACCCTCATTCTATGCACCAATGTCCGCCCGTGAATTGGCATCACCCTGGGCTGAACCGTCATTCTCCCTTGATTTTATTACTTTTTGTCACAATGTCACCTCTTGACCGGGCTACGACTACCCAAATGTCCAAATAGCCTCGATTATAACGGTCTGGGTCTACAAATTTTGGACCAAAACATAAGCACTCGGATCCAACTCAGATATCAGCAGAAGTTATATGGGAGAGAAATTAGCAAATGCATTATTTTTCTTCCGGATTCGACTATGATACCAGAAAGATATGATATCGAAAAAATTTATAATCAATCAATTGATATCATAAAAAGAGGTTACCAATCAAGTGGTATTCTTTACAATCCATATAATGCTTTGGATTAATCAGAACCATGTATTTCCAGTACTATAGATTTTAACTTTATTCAATATATATTTATCAATTTCCATATACCCCTCGATTAGTTTGGAGGATCTGGCAGTCCATTTTTTGGCCCACTTGTGGCATACCAGGCTCAAACCCTATAAACCATGGAACTCATGATTATAACAGGTGGGTTCCAGGTTCCCTGCCCACTACAACTCTACCTACACCTACCTAGGGATATTCATTATATGGTTTAAATCTCAAAGCCGAACCGAATCAACCCAAATATGTGGTTTGGTTCAATTTATACCTATAAACGGTTTGGTTTGGTTTGATAATTTTCTAAATTGCGATTTATGGTTTCGGTTTATGGAAATTTATAAACTGAACCAAACCATAAACCGAAATTTTATATACATATATATAATATGAATGTATGATATATAAATATTATATATAATATATCTAAATGGAATGCGTAAAATTATAAATATATAAAGAATTCTTTATTTTTATAATAAAATAATAAATAAAAGTTATAAGTTTTACTTTTTAGGGGAGCTATTTAGGCTTTCTAATTGGGTTAAGCCCAAAAGAATCAAAGAATGGTCCAAAGTCTCCAAACCATATTAGAAACCACACCAAACTGTAATAAAATAGTTTGGTTTGGTTTGAATTCTATACTAAAACGCTTTGATTCAGTTTAAAAATTTCTCAAACCGTAATTTACCTATTTGGTCTGAGATCTTCTCCAAACCACACCGAAACCGAACCATAAACATCCCTACACCCACTCATATAATATCACAGTCACACATGGGGAACACCTTATCCTCTTGTTATTATGCACGAGAAAATGTTTCCGGAGGTAGTATTTTGGGGGTAGGTGTGGGTAGAATTTCTCTGAGTCGAGATTGAGTCCCAGGTGTGCGCATAAAATGGGCCAATCCTCCTTAATTTTGCCTTGTGTAATATTTGAAGCATATGGCCACTAGTAATCCAATATCTCGGTAACCTGATGGACACAGCATGTTTGCAGCAAATCCAATTTACTTTAGATTTCGTTGGGCACATCCTTTATAATCTTAAAAACTGGTAGCTGCAATCCCCCTCAAAAATCTGAATTGCGGCCCCCTCCTAGTCTACTAGTAGCCCCCCTATAAATCACATCCTGCCTGTGGATTTAGCATCAGTCCATGGTCAGGATTCAGTCCACTCCTAGAGTGGAGCTCTAGATTTCTAGGGGCAGACTGACCTATAAAAAACCCAAAATAAAAGGCATTATAAATTTAAAATGATAAAATTATAATTGATATTTTTTATGATACCTGAAAAACTTTAACCAGCGTGATTTTTTATCTTTATTTTTTTGGTTCCATGTGGACTATACAATAGGGGATAGCGCATCTCCCATACCCGCAAGGCCATAACCACCCCAACGGCCCAACACAACACTGGCGAGGATAATCTCAACTCAAGTATCTACTACAGCCATCCAAAGACCTTACCAAAGTCAGTTGGTAGCTTCAAAACCCATGTGAATTTGGATGTACACTCGCCAATTTAATGATACTGGTTGATTAGTTTTTTTAGTACCATACCCTTTTTGAATAACAATTACAGTTGTGATCTGGCATTCATCCAAACAGCACCCTTCTTTTTTGACAAACAATTAGAGATATTATGTTATGTCTCTTATTTTGGACATTTCAATGTGATGCATAATTAGGGCCCATTTGGGAGGGCTCAACTTTAGTTCATCAGCTTTCAAGAAACAACTACAAGAGGCTTGCACAAAAAGCCATCTAAATGGCTGTAATATGATCAAATATGGTTGTTAGATCTCACTCTATGATTACCAAAAAATAAATATAAATATATATATATATATATCTAAAATTCACCATGACTTTTTTATATCTCATAAGCTCACCATGACTCTTCAAAACCTCTAGAGAGCCCTTAGTCATTGAGTTTTATTGTCCAAAACTCACATTCCATTAAGATTTTCATTAATCATTGATAGTGACCACTAATAAAAGTTGTCTATGTAGCATTTAAGTATTTTACATGATCAAACTACCCCTGAATGGCCAATCAAGCTTATTAATTTTTTTTACGACAAAATTACACCTGACTTGGGCCTGAGCCCACACTAGGCCCACAAATTTTAAAGCCAGACCTGAGCCTATACTTCAACCCTAAGTATTTAATAAAATTGACTGGCCATTTCAGGGGTAATTTTGTCATAAAAATATTTAATAAGATTGATTAGCCATTTTAGAGGTAATTTGGTCATATAAAATTCTTAAATGCTTACATAGACAACTTTTATTAATGATCACCAACGGTAATTTAACAGAAATCTTAAAGGAAGGTGAGTTTTGAACAATAAAACTAAACAACAAGGGTCTCTAGAGGTTTTGAAAACTCATTGCGTGTTTTAGATAATATCCCAAAAAATATATGGTCGCCCAATTTGATGATGGGGATATTAGCTGGAGAATCAATTAAATAATAGTGGAACTCAAGTTCTACCAACTCCTGTAATTTGGACGGTCGCTCACTCGCTCAGCGTCCCTCTAAAAGAGGAGGGGATCAAACCTGTGTAACCGCAGAGTTTGTGGTAAGGTCAGTAGACCTTATGTGCACCCTTCTCTGTCTGCCCCCATGAGCCCCTGTAATGTGTTATGTAACACCCAAAAGTTCTAATAACTCAACCCCACTTAAGGGCATCTTTTACCAAAAACATGGAAGAATGATCAATGATGGCCCCCCCTTTTTTTTTCTTTTATGGTGAATTGTTGGGGTACATCCCTTTTCTGACAAAATCAACACATCCCTTGCCACCTGAGTGCTGAGTGTATTGCATCAATTGTTCGTGAGGGTGCTGTAAATTCTTTTTCTACTCTTGAATGATAATACTACACGATAAAATACACATAGGACGATGGCTTTTTACTCCGTTTCTTTGTAGTCTTGGCAAGAGCATCACAAATTTCTCTCTTTCTCTTGGCATTGTTGTTGTCATTACCACGGCCACTCATGGAGCTCTTGCCACTACTACCTTCTAGAGCCTCCCTTACAAAAAACTTCAACTTCCACAATGTGGACTCACTCTGCATCAGTAATGCAGATATCACAGTCAAATAAAATTTTAATAAATACAATGACAATGAATTAAACTAGTGCTAGTAATCGAAGTGAACTGTATTCATGATAATGGTTTCATAATTACCTGAGCATCCATGTCGAGGTCAACCTCTTCAGCTGTGGCCTGGAAGTTTGGGTTCTTCTCAGCAATTATCTCTAACGCTTTATTCAGATCTTCAGGAGACAATAGGCCAAGGCCTGTACCAAGTTTTCTTTTCTCTTCTGTTGACATTTTCCTAGGAGAGAGGAAATTGACAGAGTAAGCTTCAATTCCACAAGGAAGCAAACAGTTGAGAAAAACAATCAACAAAGATGTACAGGGTCCAATAAGTGGATCTCTCCGTTGCTTAAGACCAACAAGGCAACAACCCCAACTGGTTGTACTAACCACATGAAACTCCATAGTTCAAAAACCAAATCTGGCTATAGCGGACCTCTCTTCATTGACTAGGAAATTGAAGGATCCATTTTGACTACAGAAGTCTACACATAAGTTCCCAAGAAAGTTATAAAACATAATAGCTGAAAAAGACCCTGCAACCAAATTTTATTTCTTAAAATAACAATGTGAACTCACTATTCCCAACTAGCTAATTGCTGGAACCTCTTTCCCTTAAGAGTTTGTACGAGTACAAATTAACACAATCCAGCTTGTAAGCAGTCAAGTCTGAGTACACCACACCTCCTGCAAGTCCTTTGGCTTGCTCCTTGTTCTGCTGTTCACTTGCAATCACCGTCACACTTTTGGCTTTTGTAGTGGGACCTCTTGTAACATAGAAGAATCAAGGGATCTCCCCATCTCATAGAAGCACATATACCATTCATAACTACTAAATTATTAGTGATATTTGCTGACAAAGTGACTTTGAATAAACAATAAAACTATTGGCCGAATTGTTAGAGGAGCATGTTCGTGCATACCAAAAGCTCTAAAAAAAGGATGGGATGAATGGAAAAGAAAGCACATATCAAGATAGGAGAAGCCTTACAAAGGATACAAGTCCTAGATGATACAATAAGGCACAATAAAATCAACAAAACTTGTGGATCTTTGACGTAAGGCATAATGAATGCAACGCTGCTAAAAAAAAAAAAA